AGACAAGACAATGCTTGTGCGAAGCATTTTGGATGCAGAATTTAATACAAAAGTATTTTGGTAACGGAGACTCTAATTGCGGTATGTTTTTTTTCTTTCTATTTATCAACATTATTTAATATACAGCATCTCAATGATCTCAACGTATCTTTTAAATTATTTTATGTATATTTTATGTACTTTTTAACATAGCTTACATTTTATTCTACATTATATTTTAATCCCTTTTTTTCAGATTGGAGCATTTTGTATGTGATAATAGCATTGTTATCATTAGTTATATGCTGGGTTGGATTTATTTGGGGTCTTGTTTGCTTGTGTCAAAGGATATGCGCTGGTAGAAGACGTTTACTTCGGCCTAAGAAGAAACCACCACGTTATTCTCTGCTACAACCAGAACCAGAAGATGATAGCAGTGCATGTATGTAACTTTTCTATTATTCAATTTGTGCTCATGAAATGACACTAATAATCAGTGTTTTGAATTATTTGTCATTATCGCTGTAGAGTTTTTTCTTAATGTCAATTTAGATGAAAAAGTATTAAAACTATAAAATTTTATTATTTAAAATATTTTACTACTGCTTGCTCAAACCATATTAAGAATTATCCTTTTAAAATATTTGAATATATATATTTATATCATCATATGTTTATTTATTATAACTATTAAGTTATAATAATTTTCTTTTTATATACAGTTTCAACTCACAAGATGGTGTTATCAGAATCTGACACTGATTCTGATGATGTTTTGTTTGAACATCGTAAGAGTAAAAGCGGTAGTCATGTAAGAAATGGTAAATCTCGGAATGGATTTATCAAAGTCGGTCCTCGAGTAAAAACATGAGGTAATAACACAATAAATTCATGATATGTTAAAATATAGTAATCAGTATATTTTATATCTAAATTTTATCAAGTTTCAGAAATGCAACGATAGTGGTACAAAGATAAATAGCACACAGTCGTGTCAGTTTGGCCAATCTTGAAATACTAGTCATGAAGGTGTCAGTTGACATATGTACCTTATGAAGAATGATCGCCTTCAGAATCGGTATTGATAACAATGTTCTAAGAAGGTAGATAGATTTTAAGTATTGTTTATAGATATACGATATTAATAATAATGTCACATTACTTAATTCGTCTTAAGTATTATTAATCAATTTTATTCTGTACTTATCATGTGATCTTAACTGCGCCAACGATTGCTGACGCGATAAAAAGCAGCGTCACGTAATCGTCAACCTATTTGAGAGCTTATCTAAGTATTATTATGGCCTTAGAAAGTACTTCAATTAAAAAATCGATATATATAATAAATACTGTATGAGGTCTGTATGTCATTTATATGTACTGCTTACTCTTTAATATATACATTGCCGATCTTATTTTTACACTATATGGATACTAAATAAAATTTATTATCCATCTATATTTTATTATTTATTCCTCGCATACACCTACTTTTCAAATAAAAAAAAAGTTATTGTTTAATATTAAAAGTAGTGTATTGTTTCCAATATTATTTATAAATTATTTATAAATAATTCTTGTTCACTTAATTAAAAAAAATCTTATCTCTCTGAAAGAATTTATTATATTAAACGAGAAAATTTCTCTTCCTAATAAATTACATAAATATCAAGTATTTTTATTCACTTCTGTGCTAACAAACCTTTGTACAAAACAACAAATTTTTTCCACATTTCCTCGAGATGATCTAGATATAATTAAAGATATAATTTCGCAATCGGGGAGTAGCGAAGATTTCGCATTTCAAGACAAGTTCCACATGTATTTGGCTCATAGCCTATGTTTTAAAGCTATTTTTAACCCACTACGCTGTTGGAGAATGAGTTTTAAGTAGTAGGAAGACTTCGTGCAGCCCGTTGATTTATTCCTTCGTATCTCCCGTTAATTATACCTTAATTTTTTGGTGAGTAATTATTTGATTGGGATTTTGATGTTGATCAGAAAAAAATTACATATTTATTGCAATTACTTTCATTACAGTTGCATTTTTAGCGATGGATTTCGTGAATTGTTCGGCGAAACGCTCTTCGAAAAGTTGCTGCGGTCGCGAGACTACGGTAGACAGTGAACTTGGAAGCTGCGATCATATTTACACAAATTTGGTCGAATGCAAGAGCAAAGGTATAAATACTGAAGATTTCGTTCATGTTGAACCAATGACGAACAAACGGTGAGCAATGCGATCTTTAAATTAAAACTTATTAATGTGTGACATATGATTTAACATATAAAGCCTCTTTGAATTGAGAGAATTAAAATTACAATTATATTATGTAAAACATCGCACAGCTGATGTGAATAGAATTTTTAAGACTTTATTTTTACAATATTTATAAATATCCTTGATTATTTTCAGTAACGAAGATTCGAGAAAAAGATGTGCACCTTCGCCGAATTCGAATGGTTTTGCATATCAGTCTTTCCCCGTTTTCACTCGCAACAAAATGAGCAGTGAAGTCGAAGATCTGAGAGAACCGATGCATTCTTCATATAAGTTGCCGCACGATGCAGACTTCCAATGTCCCAGATGTGGACAGAGAATGGAGGAACCTAGACTCCTTCCTTGCTTGCATCCTATATGTTTATCTTGCGTTTACGAATTGATGAGTAAGAGTAAGTGGCGAAAGAAAAATTTGATTTCAACAAAGGGAAACACAAGTCAATACTTTTAATAATAATATTAATATAACTGTTATAATCGTTAACTTTTGATTTGTTATGAAGACATATTGAGAATTATATCCTTGCAGCTTCTTCAAAGAGCGAAATACGAGATAAAAATCGAATTTACACACAACCTGATATTTACGAAACATGTCCGTTATGCGATTCGCATTTGCCGAATGCTAATTCTGTCATACCGCCACCGCATTATCCCTTACAACACCGTTTAGTTATGGACACCGTACGACGTAAACTGGTCAATAGAGTACTTTGCGATACCTGCACAGGCGAAGTTCTGGTACAATCCATAACGATCTATAGATATTATTATTGCATTCTTTAAAATTTTCATTTTATCGCAAAGTAGAAATGTTTTATATTATTTTACGCATATTATTCTTTTAAGGCGCTTATACAGTGTTCAACATGTTTGCGCAATTTTTGCTCGGAATGCGGTAGGCAACATGAACAACAAAATATTGCGGAAACAAGAATAATGAAACATTTAATGAGGCCACTATGGGAGGCTACTAAAGTACGACGAACGATTTTATGTCAAATACACCCGATGCACGCTTTAAGATTTTATTGCATCGCGTGTCAGCAGGTTTACAAAAATTTTTTCTTTCTATATATACTTTTTAATATTGCATTATGTATACAAAGGAAATGCAATCGATTTCAAACGATTAATACTTTCATTGTTGAGACCATACAAATTCTTTTTCATTTACTATACTTAATGACTTATATTTTATAGGATTTGTAAGTAAACAATAATATATATTTTCAGGTAACGTGCAAGGAATGCATGTGGAGTATACAGCATAGAGGTCATGCTAGTGAAGACGCTGTTGGAGTAGGAAAAAGAGTTAGTACGTTCTTAGCAATAATATTGCAGAAAGCAAGGAAGTATCTAAATAATCTATTGATTCAATACAATCACGACGTATTTTCAACTAATGATGTGCTTGAAGAAGCACACAATGTAGCTAAGATTTGCAGGTATGTTCAGTTATTTATGAATTAAAATATAAATTCTGAAACATTATATAATCAGTTTTATATAATTCGCATTTGCAGTGTATGATTTATATAACTTCCAGTTTTGTAATATAAATCTATAGATTTAAAACTTACTACACAATGTTTCGAAATTTATGAATGTTTTTTTATATATAATAAAAGCAGCGTTCGATGTGTAAGATCACGCACAAATGTGCATTCGCGCACTAATTCTTATTAGTGTTAATACACTGTAATATAATTGTCATGTGATTAATATGGAAATAGTAAGCGAAAAATATATAATTGTCATTTGAGGTACAAAGCATACATTCCAAAGCTCTTTGACTGATTCACAAACCGATTAGAATTATTAAAATAATTATAAGATTTGAATATATTTTTGTTAACATTAAACAATATTAAGTAAGAAACAAGTATGTCGCGACTGATGTGTTTTGAAACATGTTATGTTTAAGTTTAATATAAAATTAAATATAGTATGAACATTTGTAACTAATAATAAATATAAATGTAAATAGCACCTGATTTTATGTATGCACCTTAGATATATATATATATATATATATATATGTAAAT